TTTGATTAGAGTAATTCAGTGACGCATGTGTTCTAAACAAATATATGAGATACTCTAATAAGATCTGATTACACATGAGTATTAATTCAAGGATGTCCTTGAACAATTGACGCATTAAGTGTAAGCATGGGTATGAAACTTACATGATCAATTACTTGCAAAACAGTTTCTTTGACAAGGTGATTGATTATCTTGAAATGAGAATCTGCTATATTGAAATTCAAAATCTAAAATAAAAAGAAATTTTGTTTGATTAGAAAAGTCCGAAACTCTAATGAATAATTAACGCATTAGTTATAAGCATATTTTTAAGTCCTGCAGCTACCTCGGATAATTCCCTTTAATAAGTTTACATATTACTCTTGTCGTTATAGTTATCGACGTCGTAGTCATAATCGTTATCGTGTCATTTTCGTAGTTCATCCGGGAAAAATATAGAGAGAAGAATTATTAGTTCCTTTCAATATCAGCTCCCAAGAATTAGCTCAAGTTTAAAAGCTCCTAAAGAACAAATTAAATGAGTGTGCGAGGAAAAGGAGATATCACTACTGACTTGGCTTTTCGGCTAGTCGTTGTCGTTGTCGTCGTGGTTGTCGTGGTTGCGGTCTCGTCGTTGAAGGTATTTTTTATTTTTTAAAGAGTAAACAACGTTTCGCTCAATTAATAAAGTTCGTTCCACTTTCGTTTTTAGTTATTTATGCTAAAAAAAGGTGGGAGCAGTTTGAGGGTGGTACTTTTTTTTTTTTAAAAAAAAAAAAAATCTCATGATCGTGATGAACATAAGCTTCTATGCGATTTTAAGAAATATTACACATGTGATGAATGTGATGAGCATGACTCAGATTACGACACAAGGTATGACCTCATTCTCCGGTTCTTTTTTTTTTTTTTTTTACAAAATTTCTGTGTGTTACAATCTCTTAGCGAGCCTATACTTATAATTTAAATATTTTCTAGTCCGAATGCATACGTTCTCCCAAGTGTTATGCCTTGGAGGAGATGATTTCAATGTTATAAATATAAGTTCGTTGACATCAGAGTGTTCCTTAACAAATTTTACAGAATCGTCAAGAATGCGTGTCTTGATTTAGTCACCTCCGATTCCAATAAAAATTATTGGGAAGATCCAATGCACAGAAAAAAATAAATATATATATTATAATTTGGAAGATTGAAAGTTTCCAATTCTAAAAGAATCCATTGGAAACTCCCAAAACACATCACTGATTCATAAACTGCGCGTTTCATCGAGTTTCTGCGCCGGCTCGATTAGAACAAATGTTCAAGGAATTTAGGACTCGATAGTAGACTACCGAGAAAAAGGACCAATATAAAGTAATGTCAAGGTTGTTACAATTCAATGCGATTGTCTATTGGAAATTTAATCTTCCTATTTAATTTATGCCGCGATCTTTTCTGATAATGAAACAAATACATAAGCAGATGGTAACATCATTACGTAATCAAACTGATATATAAAGATTTTGATTTTTATCTATCTAATAAATAAAAATTATCTATTAACCGTAAATTATAAATAAATATCCTAAAGTCACCCATAATCTAAATTACTTTACAAAAAACTAATTTACATTTATTGTAAAATTTACAAATATTTATCAAATTAGAAACATAAACTATTATTATTAAATACATCACTAAGCAAAAATAAACGAAACGACAATTGTGGCAATTATTATCAACACAATTAATAACCAACCAATTAATGTCCATTTTTTCTGAAATGATGAAGTTTATTAAAAACATTTTTAATCTCCAAAGGCATAGTACAAAGAAAAAAAATGAATTTTTTATCAAATGTAGTCATAAGAGAAATAATTGTAAAACTCACCCTTCTTATTCTCTCTAATCTTCCAACTGTTGGCACACCTTGCTCTCCTTGTTCAGTAATATCAATGGTGATTTCGGCTGCTTCCGCAACGCTTTGTATTGGATCATCCTGTTGTTCTATTACCAATGCTTGAACTTCACTAAAAATGTTATTAAGTTCCTGTTATCAAAATATATTAACAATTAGGAATTGTTTAAGACAAACAACAATAATTGAGGATAAAACGCAAAATATAATCATACGTTAATTGATTTTTCGATCTTTAGAATGTCTCTTTGCCGATCTTGAATCTCTTTAAGAACCGAACGCGATCGCTCTACCGATGTTGTTAATAACGCCTAAATTATTATCCCACAAGAAGAAATCATCAGAAGAATTTCGAGCAATGAAAACGAAAACAAAGAACAAACCTGGGAGGCGAAAGATTGCCCAGTTTTTTCACTCAATAACTGATCAATCTCTTGTTGTGTGGCATCGGGTTTCACTATTAAAATAAAAGTGAATATTGTCATCTTATCACTTATCATTACACGTTTTGTCGTAAATGTCGCCCACCTATACGATATTGCCTTTCAATCCTCTCCTTGTACTTTTTTTCATTATCAAATTGCATTTGGCGATATGCCGTCATCGTATCAATAAACGTTTTAACTAACGTCGCGTGCTTTATTATTTTTTTTTTTTTAATAAAAAAAACCAATAAAGATTAGAACAATGAAAATATTATAAGATCAATTCAACCGTGTCAAAGTAATTTAAATACCTGCGCTAAGCGTATTTGCGTTTGATCTTGTACATTTGTTACCGTCTTATTATTTTGTTCCATCACTGAAGAGGTTGGGTATGATCAAGTTTATGTATAGTACGCGTAGAAATAATAATGGAAATCATGAAAAGTTCTCTTACCTGCTAATTTATTGCTTATTTGACCCGCTACACGACTTGTTTCTGATATTAGCAAATCCAGCTGCCGAGACATCCCTATTATAAAAAAAAAAAAAAGTTTAGAAAGAAATCTATTAGATATTTGTAATAAATAAACATGATAAATATGTAATATATAAACATAAATATATATAAGACGGGATAAACAAGAAATTGGGAACGGTGCTCAACGAGAACTTTCATCATTCGTTACTGTAACCAAGGTTCTCTTGTGTAAATCTTCAATTCCTGACGTGTTCTCTTTAATATTCCGAATCATTTCTAGTATAGCATTTACCTGATAAAAAAAAGATTTAAATTCGTCGATCAACAACACAACGCGAATCAAAGAAACTGTCATTAATTATGAACATTAATACTTGCCTCTTTAAAAAATTCGCCAAGACTTTGACCACCACCGGTGCTTGGGCCAGCTTGGCTTTCACCACATTCAATAACTCCCATTTCAATTACCACTTCGTCGTGTGAAGCTTGAGAATGCGTTTCAGCATTTGTCTGCTGTAAAAAAAAATAAAGTAATAAATAAATAAAATGAATTAAAAACTTAATTCAATCAATTAATGATCAGTGATAAATAATTTACTCACCCAAAATTCGGACTTATTGTCTCGACTCATTGTGGTTAGTAAAATGTACAAGAAAGAACCAGAGGATGAAAAATTTTTTGAGGAACCCGTCCAAAGACTTCTGGAATGAAATAGAAGACCAGCCTGCAATTTCTCCAAGAATACTTCAAACGGCACATGCAACGTTGCTGTATTGGTGTACCGAAAGATTTTTTATATTTCTATATTAGCTCGAGTTTGATATTCACAATATGTTGTACCACAATGATGTGACTCGTTGCCTTACACGAGGCATATACATGCACGAAAATCTGAAATCCGAACTATCGAGATAAATAGATATCTATTATTTACCAAATTTTTTTTGAATTTGTCCTTTGTCGACCGTTTCTGGAAATCCGATCTCGTATCAAAACAGACCAAAATCAGAAAAAATGCACATTATTTATTTATTTTTTTTTTCTTAAAAAAAAAAAAATCCCTCATTGCTTACTTAACTTTTCACATGATTTCGCTTGTATGTTTAGGAACCTGCCTTCGTAAGTTAGATCAACTCCTTACATATAAATTTCATAATCCAAGCACGAGATTGAAGGATTTTATCGTGCCGCAGTAACAATGGAACTATTACACTTGTTGAAATCCTTCCAATCCTTCCAAATCAGGAATTCTATTGTGAAAACCATCAAAAGTATGTACATTGTTGGTTACGTAATACATAAATAAAAGATTGAAATTTTGTATTACTTTAAAATGGTGTGATCCGCTTCGTTTCTTAATATGTCGAATAAATTTTCCTCTTAAAGGAAGAGCAATATATCTTTTGTAAAGAAAAATGATTTTATATCGCGCCAATTCTTACTTTAAATTTAATAATTATAACTTCGATATTCTAATAGATGAAAAATTCGAATTTGATAAACAATGTAATGTATATTATCTCCTTTATTGATTTTATTCATTGAGAAATTAAGTGATATCAGTCAAAGAAGGAACTATTTTTCTTCTTAACATTATTCAAGGCAAAAGATTTATTGATCTTATTAAAATGACTTTTTCTAGTAAAAATCTTTCTACCACAGTGAAGTTTTGATGCAAGAAAAAATACCATTAATCCACGGAAATGGCAATAAAGAAAGCACGTACGTGTTCTTGTTTGGGGTTACAAGAAATTGTTGATGCATGAAAAATCAATTGCATATCATTCATTCCCAATTCCAAAATACTTAACGTTAACGTTAATAAATGAACCACTTGTTGTAGGATCCACTCGAATGGATACGGAAAGTTAAGATTAGTGTTGTGATGGTGTTAGGGTAGCGCCGTACCAATATCCAGTCACATATCTTAAATAAGGTGCTCAATAACAGCTACAGGGGGAGAAGAATTCGGAGACATTGCGGTTATTGAATTTCATATGTGTAACAAAACTTCACACGTAAATATTCCATTGAGATTATCATGATATTTCGTGTGAATCATCCGCTATCTGGTATTGGTATTTGGAGGTTTCTAGGTCAATTATACCGTTTGCAACTACCTACTAACAAACTATATGTTTGAGTGGTGTAGTTCCAGTATCATCAGACAATAGTTGTTTGTTTATTTTCTACAGGAGAGGATTTCTCACGATCTTGAGATTTCTTCACAGCCACTTCTTTTATAAATCTTCTGTCTACTACAAATTCAAATTTTTTTTTTTAAAAAAAAAAATTTAAAATTTTCTCTCAACGTCAATATTACCTTCGCAACTAATAAGAGGAGCAACATCAATAATATATTGACGACTTGGAATCGGAAATCATCCACAGATACTTCGACTTTAATAACTTCCTGACTACTGTATTGGACCAGTATCTTGTTGATTAATACTCAATAGAAACAACTGAATTACAAGCGACTTACAAGAACCTTCGCTTTCATCATAACCATATACGTTCTGAAGCTCTCGGGTTTTGACGGGGTCATTGGCAAAACTATAATAAAATCTTATCGGAAAAACCTTCGAAACTCGAAGCCATAATAAAATTCCGTCAAAGTAAAACTATATTAAAGATTTATTAACAAATCCGTCGAAATATAGGGTTTCGACTTGTGCCATTTGATAAAATGAGTTTTACCAGGCAACTTAATTCCAGACGTCCAAAGAGTCCAAGATTTAGTAATTATATTTATGCTCAACTCAATGAATAATCTACTATTAATATTTTTTCTTAGGGAGGGATGTCGTAGGCATTTTTGCTTGTTCTAGTGATCACGCCCCCATCTCTTTTTTTCTTTTCATGTATCTTTTTTGTTTATTTATCTTTTGTATATAAAAATTGAAAAAAATAAAAATAAAATTTTGTATTACGTCACATTATTCATTTTCTCTTTAGAAAAAAGAATTACTGCAAAATGTTTGAAGAATATGATTATGAACATATTATTTTCATTGGAGAGATGATTTATGAAATGGTCTTTCTGGATTGTTACGGTCGAGGTTTCAATATGAAGACATTATGGGAGGTTTGCTAATTAATTCGAGTTACGAACTTAGTAAATCATATGGGACCTCTGCAATAGAAAGTAGAAAGGGGGAAACTGCCGAAAAAAAAAATCAATTTTACTTTATATGCCAAATATGATTTTTAGGTCAAAATATGTTCAGATTTAGCATTATCCCATTCATTATTTTTCCAGCCGTTTCCCCTTTTTCTATTGCAAAGGGTCCCATATGATTTACTAAGTTCGTAACTCGATTTTAATAGCAAACCTCCCATATTTCAACCATTAGGGAAATCATTAAATCGAATAAGCAGGTGGAATGGCTTGCGGAATATAATGGAATTATTAAAATCGAGTGAAGATGTGTGCTGTCCTTTTTATTTATTAATTATTTTCTTCCTTTTCGGGCTGAAACAAAAAAAAAAAAAAAAAAGAAAAAGTATTTTCACAATTTTAAAATTTTGGTACGTGAGATAAATGAAATTTTCGCATTCGTAATTAGAAATTTGAAGTTATCAATAATTCTTTATATAATTATTATTATGCAATTACATTTCTGCACCTTGACTCAAAAATATCTTTAATGTAACAACATTACAATCATAATGAATTTAACGCTCAATCAGTATAAATGGTGCAAAAGAATTCCATATCAAACTCTAAATTCTAAATGTAATTGATAAATTTGATCGTATACAGTAATAAACTTTGAACAGATGGGCGCTTTGCAAAAGAAAGATCCAAAAAAAAAATTTTTTTTTTTTTTCTGAGTCAATGTCAAATCTGGATTTATTTTTTAATAAAAGAAACATATTTAACTTATAAAACAAAATTTTTGATTTTTTTCAAAGTATCGCAAAGCGCCCAGATTAATTCAGATGATTGGCACAGCATCAATGATTCTAGTATCGTAAAGCTATAAAAAAAAAAAAAAAAAAAAAAAAAAGGGTTAGATTTTTAATTATAAAAGAAGATGAATTGTGAGTTTCCCATTCAAAGAAAAATCAAAGAAATTTTCTTTACATAAAAAAAAAATTCAAAATGAAATCAAATCTTCTTTTCCCTACCCTTACACTTTTCCTGATCCTTTTCATCCTCTCTTCTTTCACAATTGCGATTCCCACAACCGTCAACAATCCCAGACCTGAAACCAAACACTCCACAAATGACAAAGATAACAAGCAAGAAGTCGAAAAGGTTCCAGAATCTTTGGACGAAGAATCCGATGACTATGATATTGATGGCAATGACGAAGAAGACGACAATAAACCTGAACTCAGGTATCAAAAAAGTGATTAAATAATACATATAATTTTAATCATTTACTAATGAATTATTTGGTTGATAAACAGACGTAGATATTATCATTATCATGGATGGAGGAGGCCTTATCATTATCGCCCATATGGTGGCTACAGATTCGGACATCATGGGTATGGTGGGTACGGGTATGATGGGTATGGGTACCATGGATGTCGTGGGTATTATGGTTCTCCATTTTTCGAACGACCACGTTTTTGATCAAATATCTTTTATGTAATGAATTACAACGTTGAAATTTTAATAAAATTGAAAATTTTTGACTGATCTTTAATTTAGTTATTAAATTCATGTGATATTGACGACATTCTTGAAAAAATTTCACTGTACTTTTAAATTATTATGAATTTTCAGTGACTTGTTTATTCCCAAAAATGCAAACCTAAAGCTACATTTCATTAACCGATTAAAAGATTTGAAAGTTGAAAATAAAAATTATCATTATGTTGGAACGCAAACAAGAGATCTAAAAATTTAAATTAAAACACGAAAAAATTGATGTTATATATACCAAACAAAAAAGAAAAGTTATTGAAATCAAATTTTAAGAAAGTAAATAGTGGTTATCATGAAAATTCAAGTATTTCCGGCGTTAATGATCCCAATAGATATTTTTTTTTTTTTTGGCGTATTAATCAATTATCAAAAACTACGTCGTGTAAAAAATTTTATAAAGTTTTTAATCAGAAAAATAAGCCCGATGAATTATATTAAAAAGATATTCCACTGTGTTCAAAAACGTTTTTAAGTATAAAATTCTTGCTATCACCCTTCTTATAATTCATATTACACTCTCAGACGTTCACCCTATCACCGAAAAAGAAGGAATTTCCTGCTGAACCGCACTTTAATGCTACAGTAGCTTCGTCTTTGCCTTTAAAAACGATATTAATGCTCATCATACATGCTGACTTAAACCTTTTTGTGTCTCATAAATTTTTGATATGCTTATAAATCGTTAATGATTTATTACAGTCTTCCTGGTCTTCCGCTGGCAGATTTCCATATATATCTTAAATCTAACTGTAGATGAAATCGATTATATAATTGCCGGCATTTTTAAAGCATAAGGTTTGATAATGTACTGCGTCAAACATGTTCTCGCGAAATTTTGACGTATCTGGACAAGCTTGTCACAGTTCAACCATCAGAAAAATTAATTAGGGCTTTCATTTTTTAACACATTATTCTATATGCGGGTGGTGTGATATGTATCTTCTAATAAACGACGATGGTAATATTTTTTGCTTTGACTCGCAAGAAAGTCGGAATTGATTATAATTAAAAATAAATTAAGATAAATTCTAATATTAAATAATATTAGGTTAGTAAAATTTGCAGCTCAAAAGATGAATGATGATGATATTTATAATGTTATGCGAGATACATTTCCTGAAGAAATAGAGTTAGATATTTTACTATAGTTTTTTTCCTCTTTAATATTAAAATAAATATCATAATTTTATAATAATTAATTTAAATCTATAATAAAATAATTTCTTTCTTATAATTAATTATCACCTCAGAATTAATTCACCATTCCATAATTAATTTCACTTATAATTAATTACCAGTTTAAAATTAATTATGTATTTTGTTTTGCACCTTTTTCTTCTCCAACAGATCTTCATTTGAGATCTTTTGTAAGTAGAGAGAATCCACTATTTACAGGATAAAATATTTACTATTATATGTATAATCTTAACTCATCCCAACTGTGTAGTATCTTTTTACATAATAAATTAATAAAATGAACTACAATACTATGTATTATACATTCTTTTATTATATATAAGTATCATTAAAATCAATTAGATAGGTGAAAAAATGCAATAAGTTAATGATTAATTTGTTTATTTAAAATTCACTTTGTAAATAAATCAATAAATATCATCATATAATAAAATCGAAATATGTATATAGATTTTTAACTAACCTATAATAGAATTAAAATCTTTTAATTAATATAAATAAAGCCTTAAACAGTTTAAATTATAGTTGTTACCTATATTTCATACTATAAAATCCCATTTCATTTCAAAACTCCATCTCAAATCACAAATTCCATTTAATTTATAATATATTTTAAAGTATACCTTAATCATTATCTTACTTATAAAATAAAATAATACTCATTTGAATCTTCTATCAAAATAAAGTTAATAAACTAAATATTATTAAATTATAATTATTAATTATAATAATATTGTTTATTAAAATTATGATTTAAGGAATAAGATTTGGGATAAAATAAGATTAGAACTTTATCTTATACCATATAGTATAGATAATAAGTAGAGTTTAGAACTGATATTCGGCATTCAAATATAAATCCAGTTTCTTCCGATTCGAATTTACATTTTATCCAGATATAATAAATCCAGTTCCTTCATTTCATCCGGATATAATAAATTCAGTTCCTTCGTTTTATTCAGATATAATAAATTTGGTTCCTTCGTTTCATTCGTATATAATAAATCCAGTTCCTTTGATTCGTTCGAATATAAATTTAATTTATTTATTTATTATAATTAACTGACAATATTTTTTATGTACTGCATTATATTTATACGTTTTTAAATAAAGTACCGAAAAATTAAATTCGTAATTATAGGAATCTACAAGAA